AATTTCCAGTTAGCACAATAAAATCAAACTACAGGTGATACTCTGAGAGCACTAAGACTTTGAAACTCTTTTTTCTGTAACTGAAGTAACTACTGCCTTTCAAAGTGAACCTAATGCTCTAACTCTTTAAGAAGCTTGTACAGATTTGATCATCTTCAGCAGCGCAATTAAAGCAAAGCCAATGTGTTTATTTTGTTTCTCGAGGAGAAACTGATTGAAACCACATTTATAGTCTTGGAACAGAGTCAAAAACCTAGTGAATTATTAGCCAAGTGTTCAGATTATTAATTGCCATAAAAGCCACTTACAATATGCATTTAATATCTGTATTGTTAAAGTGTCCACTCTGGTCAAAGTAAAATGGCTCAGCTGGATTTTCTCCTCCCCAGAGTGAGGCTAAAAAGCATCTGATATGAATTTCAGCAAACTAAATACTTCTCCTCCTTACTGAAATTCCTATGCATATCAGATAATGAGTCTTAACCCCAAAAGAGAGTTTAGGATCCGGATAACAAACTTGAAAATTCTTCTCCAGCCTAATTTAAAAGCACAATAAAAATATAGGGGAAAAGACGGTCTTTAATTTTAAAGGGATTTTTCATATTAAGCTTTGGTCTAAGTGCCTTTTCCTAGAGATGCTCTAAATCCAATCCTCCTGAGAGAGCAAACTGCAGCTCTACCAAGTGGATCTCACTGACAGATACCAAACGAACCAGCGGAAAAATCTCCAGCAGAAACCTAAAAAGATTCCTCCTCTAAAGAAAATACACAGGGAGCAGCTGCCGGCGCCGTAGCCTTAGCAACAACTACACCTGCTTCATACTCACGTCGGCTTTCATACATGCTCCTGGACTGGGCCCAGATTTTGAAAGGATCTGGCTTTTTCTGCCCGGAGGTGTCCGGCTGGTCGGGGGCCGGCGCCTCCGGGGCCGCGTAGTCCGGCAGCACCTGGGTGCTGTGCGCGGGGGACGCGGTGTGCCCGCTGCGGTGGCTCGAGACGCTCTGCTGGGAGCTGTTTTGGCTGTCTTTCCTTTCAAGTGGTTGCTGTGAGGAAGGGAGCGAGTGGAAAGGGAGAGAACAGACGGTTATTGGTCGCTGAGTGGGTGTTTTCCATCAATTTTTCTCCCTTCTTTGATCAGGCTTTTCTGCATGCACATAAGTAAATATATAAGTCACAGTTGTGCTGCTTCCCAGCTAATGCTGGGTACAGTTAAATTCCCTGGTGACAAATCTGATAGGCAGAGTGACAGAAAGAGATATACAAACAAAGTAATTTATCATTAAAAAAAGAGCAGTTTTCCAGCTCACACATAAGACAGATCTAAATCTCATTATAGGTTACTAGTCTCAGTGCACTTCTTTTTTCCCGTATTAAGGCAGAAAATCTCAACAACCTTCAATTCAGATAACATTTGGGTCTAACTTGAGCCTGAAAGAAAATGGAAGAACTACCAGATTTCACTGTGAAAACTCAGACTGTCCCTCTGAAACAGATTCAAGCACAGCCATTACTATGCAACTTTTCTCTGCAGCTCTTGAAACTCCCCACATTGAAAGTGTGCGGACAACTTTAATAGCTCTGCTCCCCAGAGCATCCAAGGCACTTCTGCAGACCTTAACACATGTGAAAATATCTATTTGAAGTTTGATTTTTTGAAATTAATATATTGAAACAGGTAAAAATGCATCCATCTAAACTCAGGGCTTATTCCAAAGTAGTGTGTCAAGAGTTCTAACTGCTTACTATTTAGTTAAATAGGGTATGTAGTTCTTAACTCAAATTCACAACTGTGTGCTCAAAGGAAGCACAAGTCACATTTGCATTGCCAGGATATGTACTACTCAATATGCAGCAAAATCCTCAACAAGAGCTCCCCACACTGTGCAGCAAATGCTTTTTAATGCTCTTTTGAGATGACCCTTGGATTGACACCAAGGCTCAGGGCAATCTCCCACCTGCTCTGGCACAGAGAATTGTGTTCCCAGGGCTGCTGTGACACAGAGGGTGGAAGGAAAAACAACATCCCATAGGTTGTTTTTCCAACATCCACTATTTCCCAGCTAAAAGTGGTCAACTACTCACACCAATAAACCTCAGGTGGAAATTGAAGCCTCCTGCTGGCAGAGGGTATCTGAAAACATTGCAAGAGAAATCTGTGCTTTCAGAAATCTGTGCTTTTTCCTCTCTCTAGGAACCCAAGCTGGGGTAGGGAGAGGAGCCATCAGCAGACACAGATGGGTCAGCATGGGGGGCTCACAGGTCTGGGCACCCCTTGGCTCACTCTGAACACGAGACCCCAGGCAGATAATGCACCATCATAGAATAGCTGAATTAATTACAGAGGAGAACGTAACCTTAAAAAGTTCCCTCTTTTAAAGTCTTAAAAATCCCAAAACCCCAGGTAAAATTATTGTGAGGTTGCACATTCTTCAGGTGTATGCTGAGAAAAAATCCCAGCTTCAGCAGCTCAAATAAGGTTGACCTCTCAGCCTTGTATTTGAGTTGTTGATCCACCACCAGCATCTTTTTAAAGGGTATCTCCATTGACTAGAATGTGAAATTGCCTTTGTCCTTTAAAGCAATTTTGAACAAAGCTTACCTGCTGTGATTACTCATCTGCAGACTTTCAAATACAAATATCAAACCCATTTCCAACCTTTTTAGCTTTTTAAGTGGTAAATGAAGCAAATTCACATGCAGCCCTTCAATTTTTAATGAAGCCATTTTAAAACAGCTATGCTGGGGATAATAAACTTTAAAAAAATACATCTCTCAGTTCAGCCATCTGGATTGGTTTGTTTGGCCAAACTACTAAAATAACTACAAGCATCCTGTGAAACTTCAGGCCAATCTCACTGGAAATAGCTGGTTACAGAATGTGGAGGACAGGGACTAACATGTGAAGCTTTATTCAGCCCTTAGGGAAATAACAAGAACTCTCTGAAAGCTTTCTGATTTAAAAAGAAACAAAGTTTGAACTTCGAAAAGTGCTCCCACTTTGTGATAGAAAAGGTTTAAATTTTGAACAAACTGTGAATTCTGTTTTGTATTTGGATTGCAAATGGAAGTGTCAGCATATCTCAAGCAAAACTACCTCTAATTAAACTACATGTGCAAAAACAGGCATTTTTCAAGAAACAGGTGATAACCTCTTTAGTGGGACTGGTGGTTTTCCAAAAAATAACTCCTTCAAAAAGCCTGAAACATCTCTATTTAGGAGGCTGAGAGAGGACCAGAGCAAGGGGAATGAGGAATGTATGCAATTAAATCAATTGAAGACAATATTTATTGATTTATTCATATCACCAGAGGAGACCAGAAAGGTTTGGGGCCAAACTTCTTCCCACATGTTGCAGCAGCTTCAGCACATCATACCCATGAGGAACTGCAGGGCTCTGCCCATCCTGGTCCCTGCCAGGGCACTGCTCAGGTGAAGTTTGTGTTTGTTTTTGTGGCTTGGTACACGTAGAGCTCTCCCAAGAGGGATGAGCTGACCAAATGCCAAGTAAAGGATGGCTCATCCATCTCCTGCCCTGTGCCCAGCTTTAGGGTCAATCCTGGCTCTGAATCTTACTGTCCAGCCTGCTCAGGTCATGGGCAGCAAAGCAGCAGATGAGCACAGGGTCTGGCTGGCTCAGAGCAGGAGGGTCTGACCTCACCCTGAGGCGCTGATCGTGGTTTTCAGTGTCAAGCAAAGCAGACCAGCTGAACTGTATTGATTTCTGCCAGGAGCCACCAAGAGCATGGGGCACTGAACTACCCAGGGCAGCAGGAGCACCCCTGATTCTTGAGAGATCTTCTCCCGAGCTGCTGATGAGCATCAGAAAGATCTTTACCAAAAATGGCTAGGAATCAGGTCCATTCAGGCAGACTGCACTTAAATACAGGTGATGGGATAAAATTATCACCTTGATACTGTTTTACAGCCATGACAAAATAAATACATGGGAAGCTGAAGCTCCTCATGCCCTACCCAAGCCCCTGGGCTCTGAATGAAGAGCAATGTCTTGTACAGACTTGCTGTGGAACCAATTTCTCTTCCTGACAAAAACAGGACATTGGCAGAGCCCCTGGTGCTGCTTATCCACCCAAAAAAATGTGGCAAATCTCTTGTCTGGGACTAGCTGTGCATAAGAATTGCATTTTTTGGTCACAAGTCAGCTATGCTGACAATGCACTTATTTAAATCCAAAAGAAAAAGGACAGATTTTTGGAAGAGCTTTTATCCCCCCTGCAGTGATTCCATCTTCTGATGATCTAGCTGCAGATTTTGTGCTGTAGAGCTTTTTGGAGAAGCTGGTCCTGGCAGCAACAGCAAAGTGAGCTGGAAGTGGGAACCTTTGCCCTCTTGTGGAGCATTTTGATGCAAGCAACAAGGAAAAAATAAGTTTGTTTTCATCCCTGTTATACCAGGATAATTGCAGGGCGAAATGCTTTAACACCTCACCACAGCCAGGAGGTACCAACAGCTCAAAGTTGGCCTTTGGGGAATGCAGGACTGGGGACTGAGAACAGAAAATAGGACTTGTTTGAGGAAGAGCAGCCACTGGAGTAAGTGGAGCTGTGGGAAAGGATGTCAGGGAACGAGAGAGGGTTCATCTCCTGAGCAAAGCAGTAGAGGATGGACACCTGAATTGTGACTTCCCTGATGCAGCAGAAGAAACAAAAACCAAGCACAAGCCAACATCAAAGCCAACTGCTCCCAGCCTCGGTGTGTGCTGTCCTCTAACTGCAGCTTGTTTATTATACAAGGAGTGCTGGAGAACAGTCCCTGTGTGCTGAGCAAAGGGCAGGGGGGAGATGGGCAGCATGTCCCCCAAACCCACAGCTGTGCTGTGCCGGCGACAGCCCTGGCACAGGGCTCTGATGGCAGCTCCCACATTCACTCCATTACTGCCAGAACAGCAGAAAAGTGGAGTCCCTGGGATTCGGGGTCCCTGGGATTTGGGGCATCCCTGGGATTCGGGGTCACTAGGATTCAGGGCATTCCTGAGTTTCGGGGTCTCTGGGATTTGGGGGATTCCTGGGATTTGGAGTCCCTGGGATTTGAAGTCCCGGGGATTCGGAGTCCCTGGGATTTGGGGCATCCCCAGGAAATTCAGAGTTCAGAGATGGGATCCCAGACAGGACTGTGACAGCTCTTGCCTGTCATGAGTGGGAATCCTCATGGTCCAGAAGGTTAGGCTGGACTCCCCACACCCTGCAGTGGAGCAGCAGCCCTTCAATAAACCAAGGGAGGAGAGTGTCTGACACCACCACATCCCTGCTTCTGACTGTCACCTTAGCCACAAGAGCTCTGGGGTTGTAAATCCACCCCAGAGAGCCCGAGGAGGTTCCTCCTCTGCACACAGCTGCCCTGGGGCACTTTGCTCCAGGTTTCCATGCTCAGTGCCCACAGGTCAGTGATGCTGGGGAGGAAGGAGCTCATGGCAGCTGCTGCACCATGCTGCAGTGAGCACAGCACCACTGTAAACTGCGCTGCCACCCACCCTGTGTGCAGCCAGGGGAGCAGGAGGCTCTGCTTTTTGGGAATCCTGCACTTCAGAGGCAACAGCACCACCTAGGACCGTAGGAAAAATTACTGAAGGAAGCCTGAAACGACTTGGGAGAGGTACGCAAAGGAATGCCAGCTTTGCCCAAGCTGAGAGGCTCCTCAGAGGAAAGAGTAGAGAGAAATCTGCTGTTGCACAGCTACACCTGTTTGTAAGCAGCCTCTGTTCACCAGAGGCTGGATTATCCTGATGTGGATTTACATGCTGCTCAAATTTTCACTGTCAGCCAGAGAGGTGCCTGACAGAGCAGGATCCTGCTTCATCCCATGTGTGTGTGGCAAAGTGGGAGCATCCTCGCTTTGGAAAGAGCCAGGCTGATAGATTTAGTGACAGAAGTCATGGTCCAGATTGTGTGCAGCCAACCCTGCTCTGACCAGCGAGAAAGTGCAGGCAAAGAGCCAAAATGTGCCAGATACACCAGTGTTTTACACACTCCAGACATTCTTGTGTTTTGCACACTCTAGACACTCCTTATTTTACACACTTCAGCCTATCCTGTGTTTTACACACTCTAGACACTCCTTATTTTACACACTCCAGACACACCTGTATTTTACACACTGCAGACACTCCTGTGTTTTACACACTCCAGCCACTGGTGTGTTTTATACACTCCATCCACTCCTGTTTTTTACACATTCCAGCCACTCCTGTGTTTCACACACTCCAGACACTGGTGTGTTTTACACACTCTATCCACTCCTGTTTTTTACACATTCCAGCCACCCCTGTGTTTTGCACACTCCATCCACTCCCGTGTTTCACACACTCCATCCACCCCTGTGTTTTAGCCAGTCCCTCTGGGTCCCCAGGGCTGGAGCAGCCCTGCCTGTGACAGCAGCAGCAGGCAGGGGCTGACAGCGCTGTGATTTGCGAGGAGCTCACCCCGCACTTCTGCCTCCCTACATTAATGCGAGATGACAATGGTAGAGGCCTGGGCTCACATGACTTTAATCAGCGCTGCCCTAAGCCATCAGAATCACATTAATTATTTCAGGGCTTTCTTTTTGGATGAGCAGAGAGATTGTATTAAAAGCAGGAGCCTTCTGCTCAGCCGCTTCCTAAACCCCTTGCCCGGGTTTGCGGCTGTTTGAGTGGGCTGTGCCAGCTGCAGGTTTTGGCAGCACCAGGGACTGTTGGTGAAGTTTCACACCATCTTACAGCACGGCAAATACCTCACTTGCTTTGCTTCCCCTGGCAGAGAATTTTGTCTCTCCCTCACTCTCAACAGAGAAGTGCAAACTTTCAGGCTTTAGGTATTTCATTCCCTTTACAAATAAAACATTGCTTTTTGTTGCATACAAATAGCACACTAATTTCTTCCATGATATCATCCATGGAGCTTTAATGATACTTTAGATCACAGCTTCTGTGCTGCTAGCTAAGTAACCAGGTAACAGCTTTACATGTAAATACATTCGGGGGGCACAAGAAAATATTGTTCTGTTGTTTTTTTAAAAAATGAGGAATCTTGCACCTGCAGGACAATCCTGCTCAGTATGGAAACGCCTCCAGAGCAGGCACTCAGACAGCTGACTGTATTCCCCGGGAACTGGAACCACGCTCTGTTCGTGCTTTGTCTCTCCCGACAAGGTGCATGCTTTCCCATTCTGTTAATAATTCAGCCAAGGGTTCTCAGGAAAATTCAGTGAGTTAATGGAAAAGCTTGGTGCCTATGAGCACCCGACAGGAATTGGTATCTGGCAAGAAGGTGGAGCCTCCCATCTTTCCAAAAGGAAACAATAGCTTTTTTTTTTTTTTGGTAAGTTAAAGGACAGAGAAGCTCATCTGTCAGGGAAGCAGATTTGTAAACCTAAGGCTTTATTTGCAAACAAGTCTCCCTTCCGTGCTGCATCCCCCTCTCATCTCCCCATGCAGCAGGAGCCGTGCGAGCTAATCATGGTTGCAACAGAAAGACAACTTAAAACAATCGAGACCCAGAAAGCAAACAAGCCAAACTCATGCTTTTTCCCCACCAAAGCAGACAAACAGACAGAAATAGTAGCTGAAAAGTGCTTACCGACTTTGGGCTCTTCTTTGGGACTGGCAGTCCTGCAAAATGGCAACAAGGGAAAAATAAACATTAGCATGGAGCGTTACCTTCCCTTAAAGAAAAGCCCTAGGTGCATCCTCGGCAGGTAGCCATCTGCAGAGTTATGTCAGCTTTCTCTCCGGAGTTAGCGGCGCGTTCATATCGAATCGCAGCCCGGAGAGAGGCAGCGGGGGCAGAGCTCTCTCTGCATCAGCTCTGCTGGTTGTGCTGCAGCAGCCAAGAGAGAAACCCACAGCCCTGAGCGCCTGCCTGGGCAGAATCTCAAATGCTCCCCTGGATTACAGCAGACTTAGCTCACAATTAAGCCGAGGCTCTTTCCCTTTGACGCGTTTTGATCGGACCAATCGCGGCGGCGCAGGGGGAACAGGTTGATTTTTTAAAAAAAAGTATTTCTCTACAAATTGATTTTTTTTTTTTTTTTTAAATTTTTATTGGAACGGGAAATATGCATTGGGCTTGAGCTGAGAGGTGTGGGCTGGGCAAAGGAAAACAAAAGCAGGAGGAAGAATAAGCTTTTCTCCCTAAAATTACTGAAAGAACACACGTTTTCCTTCCTGTCCATCCTAAGTGCAAATCTTTGAAGCCCGAGATTTTATCTGTTAGGTACCATTTCAGAGAGCCGTGGCTTGAGAACAGCACTACCAGTGCCCTGACCCCTGGGGGGATGCTAGGGAGCTTGGAGAAGGGGGGTTTGCACAGATTGCAGGTGATGTCAAGGAACAAACAACTGGGAGGGTACCAGGGAAGGTTTTTTTCAAGGATAATTTTGCATTTTGAAGCAGCCTCTTACTCAGTCTGTGATGAGAAAGAGAATTCAAGTGAGATTTCAATCAACTGCTTGTGCACAGAGCCCAGCTGCCAGCAGCAAGGGAGACACTTTGGGGCTTTACCTACAATGCAGGAAAAACTCTTTGTTGGGTCAAGACCTCCCTTTTCCCCCCGCTGTTGGAAGAGAGAGGAAACCCTCCGTATTTTTCTCTCTGTGACACTCCAGAAACAAACATAAACCAAAACACAGATTACACTCCACATTAAGTGCTCAGTAATTCAGATGTTGGAAATCTGCTTTTGTCTTTAGGATGTGATTTATGTGGCATTTATGCCGCATTACGTTTTCTACTTTATGCATTTTATTTATTCTAAACCCCATGCCCTCATCTAACTTTTACACAGAGAATAAAATAAGTGATGCAAGTGAATTACAATCTGTCTAGGAAGATGCTTATTTTAAGGTAATTTGGGAGATGTTAGCACTGAATAGGGAAGATCCACAATTAAAAATGATAATCAGAGCTCACTTTGCTGCTGCTCTCAGACTGGGATGCATACTGTAACGAGTATTTTAAATGAAATATTTTCAAGCTTTTGAGGAATATCTGTGCTCTGCATGTCACTCTGATGCATTCCCAGCCAATAGCTGATACCCCTCCAGGCACTGATTGATTGAGGGACAATGAAACATCAAACTGTTTGGACTAAACAATCAAGACTGCAGCTTCATTTCTGCTGATGGGGACTGTGTTTGCATAATACCCTTAAAGAGGAAAAACACTCATAACGTCCGTGGCAAGTCACATTTTTAACAGGCATCATTTATCACAGAGATAAACACACAGACAGAGGTTCTCCTCTCTCTCCCCCTCCTTCCATGCATGTTTACTCTCCCTTTCCAAGAGATGATCTTTCCTATTAAATCAATACATAGAACCCATCCCCATGCACAAATGCACCCTTAACAGACCAGCATGAGACACAAAAGATTTAACAACATTTTAAATGTTCCCTCCAAAAAATAAAGTGGAGATGAAGGTGAGTTGCTGGGTGAAATTGTATCAGAATTCAGTCTATTGCATCATAAACATTAAATGTTAAAATCTAGCAAGTATGAACAAACCTTTCCTTCAAAGTTTGTCATTAATGTTGGCTGTTCCAATCCCAAAGAGATGGAAAACAGTTGAAAAATAACAGAAAACACATCAAGGCTATTGTTTGGTGGGTCCTTCAGAGGCCAATGAATCTTACAGTGTCACTGCCCTGTGCCAGACTTTGCTGCAGAACAAGCAATAATTTACTTCTTACCAAAATAAGTGACTGCAGAACATGTTAACAAATGTTGGCAGCTTTTCATGGGACAAGCTTATAGTCAGGGGAATAACCTGCCTGTACATTTTCCTGTGAAAATATTATTTATTCATCTAATTAGGATCTCATTTTAGAACTCTAGTTCCTGGCACAGCAGGTCAAATGAGCAAATGATAGGTATAATGGGGAGTTTTCATGCTCAGATGATGGCATGGATACCGCATTTAACAGTGATGAACATGAAGTGCTTGAATAACCCCCAAATCCTGGGAGCCCCACTGGCAAGGAAATGCTGAGCTTTTCCAAAAAGCTTCTGGTGAAAACATCTCCCAAACCCATGAATTTGGGATTGTGACAACTGTGAATTACAACACTGGCCTTAGGATTCCATTAA